CCCAACTTGGTGGTCCCAGCCCAGCATGTCTCGGAGGAAGCCGGGGCTTCCCAGGCAGCTCCGCCTCACCTGCCGGCGCCGCCGCTCATGCTGCAGCTGTTTCTCCACTGGGTCTTCCCAGGCACGGCCCTGCGGGTCGGTGGCGGGAGGCTCCCAGCCGCTGTAGAACTCGGGGCTGTATGGGGGTCCCTCCTCCGGGGGCAGCTCCACCCTGCAGCCAGGGATGGGATGAGGGCTGAGATCTTGGTCCGCTCCCCGCTGTGCCGTCATTAGCTTCAGGAACTTTCCCCCTTCCCCTAATCCCCACTGTTCTAGCTCTTCCCTTTCCACCAAGCCCTGCCTGCAACTCTGAGCCCACTCGACGTCAATTATGCTTCTGTTCACGGAACAGCCATTCCACGCTGATGCCCCGCCCAGCCTCTAACTCTCACCTCTGGTTCCGAGCTGGGCGCCACACACATCCTCCGAGCCAGGCTCTGGCCCCATCCCTCCCAGCACCGCCTCATCCCAACTCCAAAGGGACCAGCGGAACTCTCCCCACACCCACCCTCTTAGCATAGCTGGCCGGGTACATCTGAGCCTGCCGTTGACCTGGAGTACTTCTTTAAGTCCTGCCTTTTGTTCCAATTTGATCCTGTGTCCTTCATTAATTTCTGGCCTTTTCTCTTACCGAATCCGGGCATTGGTCCTAAGTCCCACCCAGCCCTGTTCCTTTGGCCACACCCTCCTGGCTAAGCCCCGCCTTATTTTCAATCACCACACCCTTTTACCGTCCAGTCGCTCTGCTCTCCCAATCAGAGCCCCGTCTAGGCCCCGCCCCTTGCCACGCCCCATCCCAACCGCTCCGGTATTAGCCCCGCCCCCGCCCCGCCTGGTCTCAGCCGTGTCCCTTACCCTGGGCGGGTCCAGGAGTCCCCAAGCGAAGTCCAGAGCACGTTTTCACGTGGAGTGACGTTTTCCCGCAGCAGCGCCACAGCCTCGGATGTCAGGTGTGGCCGCCGCACAGTACTTGCGAAGTCGGGGCCCCCCGACGTGTTCACAATCTGCCAGGCGAGCAGGACGTGCATGCCATCAGATTCCCCTCCAGTCTAACCCGACCTCTGTGGGGACCTGAGGGTCTCCGCGGTCTCACCATCTGCAGAGGTCCGAACAGGAAGTGCAGCAGCTCTGCGGAGGAGGGGTTGGCGATGTTGCCGCGCAGCCGGGCCTGGGTGGGAGGGAGGTGGCCGAATGTTAGTGCGTGGGTGGGCACTAACATTCTCAGTTCCCCGCGACCGATGCCGGGGCAGACATGTCCTCACCAGCAGGCTGAAGGCATACTTGATTTTCTGAAGCACGTCCGTGTACTCAGCTTCCGAGGGCGGCTTGGCCCGCAGCGTTAGCAGGCCCTCTGTGTGGAGGGGAGGCAGGCGTGGCGACCGGGGAACAGGCACGGTGAGAGGGGGCAGGCGCGGCGACCAGGACACAGGCGTGTGGGTGGGGGCAGGAGCGGCGACCGGGAAACAGGGGCGGCAGTGGGGGTGCAGGTGCAGTGGTAGAGGAGTGGGGGCGACAGGCATGTTAGGGGGAACAGGTGCGGAGATGGGGCAGGTGTGGTGATGGGGGAGGCGGGCGAGGTGTGGGGGGGCAGATGCAGTGGTGGGGAGGCAGGTGCGGTGGTAGGGGAGGGCAGGCATGAAGATGGGGAGGCAGGTGCGGTGGGGGAGGGCAGGTGCGATGGGGGGGCAGGCATAGTGATGGGGGAGGCAGCGTCAGAATCAGAGAAAGAGAGACACCCAGTGGGAATGGGAGAGACGTCAAACCCGGCAGGTGGCAGAGGGAGGCCGGGGAGACAAGGAGGACAAGTGGGGAGGGGCTTTTCAAGAGCCCATGGTGGCGACCCTTACCCCCGGCCGCCCGGTGTCGGGTTCTGCGGCCGCGCTCCCGGTGCTCCAGCACGCGGGCCGCCTCGGCAGACTTCTGCAGCCGGGAGACGAAGCTCTCCACGTCGTCGAACACGTGGTTCAGGATGTCCTGAGCAGAGCGGGGGCACCCAGACCTCCCTCCTTCATCCTGACTCAGGCCAGGAGCGCCCAGATAAGTCTAGCCGTGGAGGGCCAGACCACGCTCTCTGGGGGCGGTGACACCCGCGATGCCTGCCACGCGCCACGTCCCTAGAGTCGAGCCCCACCCCGCCTCCGGAAGTCTAACCGAGTTGATTTGGACCGTAGGCCCCAGGCCAGGCCCCGCCCCTAGACAGAGGCTCCGCCCCCGAACTATGGCCACGCCCCGCTCACCACTTCCCGCTCAGCCTGCAGACCGGCCAGATCAGGACCCCGTGGGCCCAGGTCCGGGGAGGTGGGGTTGGCGGTGTTTGAGGTCCTCGCGAGGCCAGGCCTCTGCCGCTCCTCCTCCGGAATGGGCTCTGGCTGGGGTCCCCCGCGGCCTGCGCCCGGCTCCACTGGGTTGATCACTGCGCGGACCGACGGGCGGCGCTGCAGGGGCGGGGTCTCGGCGGCCGGCGAGGGGCCGCGTTGTAACTCCTCCTGCGTGGGCCTGCGGAGGGAGACAGGGAATCTGAGGCAGGGCCGACCGACGGGTCGGGGAGGGAGAAATTCGGGCTTAGAATGAGGGACAAGCCCACAGGGTCAAGCTTCGACTCAGAGAGGCAGGGAGAACGCTGATGTGGCCGACCAGCTTTGCAGAGGGACACAGGCGGGAGGAAGGGGGAACCGAGCCCGGGGAGGCCCAGCTTGTCTGGAAGGTACGGGCAGGGCAGGGCAGGGCAGGGCAGGACGCGACCACGGCTTGCTCGTTTCCGTTCAGAAGTATTGTTCTGTTCTATCTACCTGGTGGTATCAGCCCATTTCTCAGAGGAGATTGAGACTCAGAGAGGGGACGCTGGCTTCCCAGAGAGCCTGCCCCCCACCTTGCCCGCTCCCAGCCCAGCCCCTCACCTGAGCGCCGCCGCCCTGCGCTCCCCTCTGCCCGAGCGGTGACTGTGCAGAGCGCCCTGGATGTCTTCTCGCATCAGCTCCGCCTGCCAATCACGCCGTCAGGCCCCGCCCCCTGCCCACCCGGCCCCGCCCCTCGCCCATTCCTAGACTGGGCCCTAGACCACGTGCTGGCACGACTGTAGACCCACACCTGTGTGCACCCTCACCCTCGCCCTGAACCTGTCCCTGTCCTAGGCCATGGCCCCGCCCGGGGAGGCCCAGTCCGAATGGTTCCCCATGCTAGGCACATCGCCCCACTTCATTCTGCTCCCACACCGTCCTAGTGTTCCCAAGCCCACCCTCCAACCCGCCCTCCTGCTCTGCCGGACCCTGCGTCCAGCCTGTCCTCGAACCCCACTCCCTTCCCATCTCTTGTCCAGATCCTGCCTCCTTTGCCTGGACACCGCCTTTGCCCCCAGGGACCGCCCAGCACGGAGACTCCGCCCCCGACCAGCCCGAGCACTGCCTGATCCTGGCTGTCCCCTGTGCTGGCCCGCTCACCCCGAGGCGCAGGCCTTGGAAGAAGTGCACGTCCGGCTGCGCGCGCTCGGGCTCCTGGCAGACGAGCAGCAGCAGCGAGCGGCTCCGGCCTGGCGGTGTCACCGCGTCGCAGCGCACGATGGCGCCCAGCGGGTACGACTCCAGCTCCTCCTGCAGTGGGACGGTGGGTGAATGGAGGCTGCCATGCTACTAAACGACATGAGTGCCTACAGGTGCCGGCTAGGGCCATCCCGCGGGACCGATGGCGCTGCAAAGGCTGGCTGGCCTACACTCTAAGAGACGCCGGGGCCCCTTGCTGGGGTTCCCCCGAAGGACATGCGGGAGGACACGCAGGACACGCGGAAGCCCTGAAGCACACTCCCACCCCCAAGTCCTGGGTTCAGCCCAGGCACTCCTTCCCCACACGCGAACCTTAGAGGCGGGGTCAAGCAGTGTCACGTGGTCGGGGGACACGCGCAGCAGCATCTCCTGTGCCCAGATGCGGCCCTGGCTGTCCATGACGGCCAGCTTCCTGGAGGCGTCCTCCACCGTGTGCACACCGTCCTCCTCGCCCAGGCAGAACGTCACCAGGTGCTGGCACCCGTGGGGAGGAAGCAATGAGTCTCTGGATGATGCCAGGTCGACTTGAACCCCCCTGAAGCAGACTTCTGGCCTGAGATGAACCACGTCTCCTCCAGGAAGCCTTCCTTGGTCACTGCTCCACAAGTCGGCCCCTCCAGCTAGTGCCCTTTGTCTAGCGTGACTAGCACCTGGTCTGTCTTCTCACCAAGACCGAGGTTCCCGGGCAGGGCTGGGTCTGGGTAGCACCAGTGCCTTCTCTGGGCTCCCCATGGTGCCCAGCACCTCCTGAGAGCACCTGGGCCGTGGGCGGCACCTCTGGACCTGGCCTGCCCCTGTGCCCGACAGCCAGTGCAGAGCCGGCCGCCTGGAGGAAGCTGGCCGTTCTCAACTGGTTCTGCATCTGCACCTGCGTGTGGGGCGGGGTGGGTGGGACTGGGTAGGGGCGTCCATTCTGCAGGTGAGCATGCTCGGTGTTCCACGCTCTGCTTCCCTGCACCCCTTTTCCAGGCCCACTGTGCCCCAGAAGGAAGCAGACACAACTCACGTTCACTGGGTACTGGGACACGTCGGCCATGACCACAGTGGAGTAGCGCTTCCTCTGCTCTGCGGAGGGACGGGGACAGTGAGCCAGGGGCCAGCACAGCCCTCCTCCCCAAGACCCACAGGCCAGTCCCAGCCCCTCCTCCCATAGGCCTAGGGTCCAGGTCCCCAGCCTCTCCTCCCTCACACCTGGGTTCAGGCCCTCAGGTCCCCCCCAGAGGCTATTCTTGGGGCCTGGGGTCTTCTGCCATCTGTCACACTCACCATAGATAGACTTGGCGCTGGGCTTGGGGGCAGCTTCTGGGCTGGTGAAGGGAA